TCTCTCTCTCTCTCTCTCTCTACATGTGTCGAGTCTTTTTCTCTCTTGAATAGTGTTTCTCTATCGATTCTATTTATGTTTCTGTTTCGAGCTGTCACTAAGACTAGGAATAAAAAAATGAAACCAAATCACAGTTTTGGTGCTACTGTTGTTATTGTTGTCGTTTTCGTCGTCGTTATTGTCGTTGTTATTGGTGGTCGTGGTGGTGTTGTTGTTGATGATGACGATGTTGTTGTTTTCATGTTGTTGTTGTAGTTGTAGTTGTTGTTGCTGTTGCTATTGTTGCTGTTCTTGTTTTGGTGCTGCTTCTGTTATTGTTATTGTTGTTAGTTTTGTTTTGGTGCTGTTGTTGTAATATAAAATACTGTTGAAATTGTTGTTGTTGCTGTTCTTGTTTTCAAGTGGCTGTTGTTATTTTTATTGTTGTTACAACTGAGCGGTAAGTTCGTTACTCACTACACGCCTCATATTGTGGCACTTAACAAAAAGAAATTCTGAAACCAAGAGAAAAGCCTGTATGGTGCGCATATCCAAAAGTGGAAGTGGAGCTTTTATGTTTCAAAATGTGGCAAACTTTTCTTTGCCTGATTTGATATCATTGGCAACGGCAGAAGCCACAGGTTATCTTATACTATTTCAAATTCTTCTATTCGGCTTGAGTAATGTGCTCCCCTGCGATGTATTGGTCATAGTAAGACAAAGATGGAGCAGCTATTCTTATAACAGCTCTGCTGCTATAAGGAGGTAACAGTAGTACCAGTAATTATTGGGCCAAGTTTAGTCACAGCGGAAAACACCACCAGCCAACAGGAACGACAGTTTAAAATCATGAGTACGCTTACTGGGCTGGGCTTGTGTAAGAAATTACACTAGGTTAGATCCACAGATTGCAGGAACGAAAAAGCGAACAAAGATTTAAAAATAAAGAAAAAGAACCCAATGTGCTTTACCTGTAACCTACATGCGATCGTAATTTCTAAAACGTTTTCCAATGTTCGTTTAAAAGCCTTATAGGTTATTATAACTTTAAAATAACTGCCTCGACCCATATTCTGGTCTCTTTACTTTACAATTGCAGTCTTTTGGGGGAGATACATCATTGCAGCGTGTTAAATGAGTACCGTGTGATTCATATAATATAATTACATTGTCTGTTCCACACTCGCATATACCTTTTTGTTATTTTTGCTAAAGCTTCCAGCTGCTAGTTTGGTTTGTTTTTTGATCAAAGAGAAGCACACCACCGCAATAACGGTCATTGAAGGGAAAACGCAAAACAGATGTGATTTTAGAAGCTGAAGATTGATTTTTTAAAAAGAAGTAGGACCTACCAGCAGCGTTCTCCAAACATCCGCCCCGCTGCTTTTTGAATGAAAAAAATACTAGATCTAGTTTTTAAAAAAAATACAATTCGAAAAAATATAACAAATAATAATAA